AAGGGAAGTAGTCGCTGCATGAAGACATGACAATCATGGCTCTTCATCCCGGAGAACTTTTGTCCTTTCTCAACACATCTTGAGAGATTTGAAACATACCCATCAGGAAACTTCACTTCTGAAGCCACCCAGTTGAACAACGCAGACTTTTTTTCTGATGACAGTCTGAATATTGGAACTGGAACTTGCCCATTGCTTTTTATATGCAACTCATTCCTTGAGCAGATATCGAGTATTAATGATTTCTATAAAGTATCAAAGTTTATTGTTATTTAAAATGTGAGATGTACATAATATTTTATGTTATTTAAAATATTTGAATAGTTGAATAATAATAAAATATTTAAAATATTAAAATATTTTATGTAAATAATATTTTATGTTATTTAAAATATTTGAATAATAATAAGATATTGATAGATATTTTTATTATGATTATCGAATAATTCGATATTATAGATTTTTTTCATTTTACAGTTTCTACAGCTTATAAAACAAAGAGGTAGGTGTTGCCTAAAATGCATAAGAATACATTTTGCTTTAATTTTTTTGTTGTAACTTTAAAAATAAAGCTAAAGTATGATTGGTACAAGTTAATAGAAATTTGTTATAGACTTTGACTAACAAAAATAAAACTATAACATGATTGGTAAAGTTTAGTGTTTTAAAAATAAATAAAGTTAAAGTAAGGAGATAAAATCCAACCAATCACCCTCCATGTTATTGTTTCTTGTATTTACAATATTTTCACTAAAAGATTTTGAAATCCATTGTTATTCAATTAAACATTTAAATACAAGATTTAAAATCTTGTGTTATTCATGTTTGATAAAATTTTACAATTCATTTGACTTCAAATACTTTAAATGGATTTAGATTCAATTTTACGTGTAAAATTTATAAGTCAAAAACTGATCTATTACCTCATGATTTATAAACTGTTTCTATTAAATTCAAGACTTAGTGGAAAATATGACATGTTGAAAGAACACTCATCTTTTTTTTGACATGAAACAACATTCATCAAGAGGGGAGATTTCTCACTTCAAATCAGATTCTATGTAGGGCAATTCTCTCAAATAGTTCTCTTTTAAGTTTTTATTACAAAAATAGACCTTAAAAATTAAAATGACCAAAATAGCACTTTTTATTTTGAAAATTTTAAGTTTTCTTAATTTTTTTAAATTCGAAACCCTATTCCCAAAACTCCACCCCTCAACTCTAAACAAAAAAATCTAGAATTAATTAACCCAAGAGGTATAAATGTATATTTAAAAAACATTTAAATGCTATTTTGGTCATTTTAGTTGTTAAGATCTATATTTGTGATAAAAACTTTTTTAGGTCTATTCTAGTCATTTTCTCTTCTAGAAAATAGATGAACAGTTTAATAAAGTCAGCCTCTTTTATGTTTTGTTTATAAAGTTAGCATCTGGCATTTTCATCTTTTATAGATCAAACTTAGAAAAACCTAGAATATAGCTTTCATCCGTTGAGAAACTCAGGTTTATTTGCATTACATCGATCAAACTCAGATTTTTTTTATCTTCGGTACTTCACATATACTTAATTCATCTTTAATAATTTTTGAGCTTTGGAATTACAATTCATATTAGAATCTCAAAATAAATTATAATTCTGGTAAGGAAATATTATGTTGAACTGATAAACACAACGACACAGATTTAAAATATCTAAATAAATCATGTATTCTAGATTGTAAAATGAATCAAAAAATTTAAAATCTACCCTATTTTAAATCTAAGGAGTTATTTCAACTTATATAACCAATAACATCCTTTGTTTTCCTTTTAAATTTGAATTCTTAATATTGTTAATCATAGATATTATTCAAATATCTAAATAATGCTGATTCTAAAATAATAATAAAAATCTTTTCAAAATATCTTAGAACAAAAATAAAGATACGTAGGTCTTGATTTTTTTTTAAAAAAAGAATCATGATAATTACAAGTAAAAATTATCTTATACTGTTTTTTCAAGAAAATAAATGAAATTTAAACATTAATATTTTGTTGTTTAAGATATTATAAAAAAATCTAATGGATGACGATGCTAATTTTCAAAAGATTTCCTTTCTTTATCCCTTAATTCTCAAAAGGTTTTATTTTTTTCCCCAAAATGTTTTTTTTTCTTAACTAAAAGAGTCAGTCATATATACCAACCCCCTTGTATATCGGGATATTCGTTAAAAAAAATCCTTGCTTCCTTATTCTTTCGACTCTCTAGGGTTACGGCTTGACGAACGCACGCGATAGCGTCCCTCTTCAATTCGCGAAACCGATTAAATTGGTAAGTCTCGAATTCTTTCGATTAGGGTTTTCTCTTTCCGTCGATTTCTCCACGAACGATTGCATCTCTCAGATCTACCGTACGTTTTTTCGTGGATCTAGTTTCGTAATTTAGGGTTTAGGTCGAATCCCTAAGCGAATTGCTCGAATTAGCTGTTAGGGTTTCGATTCAGTTAAAGGGGCTACCTTTCTTATTCAAATACATATCTTTCACGCAGAGATTAAGACCCTTTTAGCTTGTGTCATTCTTCAGTTGCTCAGAACACAACTTTGAGGAGGTGAGCAATCTCAGATTTGTACCCTTTTTGAGGTTAGCGTATGAAGTGATACGCTTTTTTTGTTTACATTGGTTTTGATTTTTGGTAGATTGGGTTTTGAGAAGGATAGGCAATGGCTGGAGTATTAGGTGGGGAATGTTCATACAATGAGAGTGGCGTTTCCTCATTCTCCAGGAACTCCACTGAAAATCAGAATCAGGAAGAGGGTTCCCGCTGGTATTTTGGAAGGAAAGAAATAGAGGAAAACTCGCCGTCCAGGTTGGATGGTATTGACTTGAAGAAGGAAACGTATCTACGCAAGTCTTATTGTACTTTTTTGCAGGATTTGGGAATGAGATTAAAAGTGTAAGTTTAATGTGCTCACCTGTTTATTTCAGTCTCTTACATTGTGTTGTGCATTTGATAAATAGCTTGGTCTAGGACACGATAGTTCCTCTAATCATTATAGCTAACTGAATCCTGCTTTTAGATTGCATTGATTCCTTTACATGTAGGTTTTGTAGGATTAAAGGTATTAAGTTTGTTAAATTTGTTTTGGTAGAGGTCATTTTACGACATGAGTAAAATAGGTGAAGCTATTGGCAAACATAAAGGTGAAGCGCGAGTGGGTTCTCCTTGTGTTACATATCTCATTAGTCCTTTAATCGCTTTGCAGAACTTAGTCATAGTGGTGAACACAATTTTTAGTTAGAATCATTCTTCATGTATACATGGTTTCATCTTGCGATGTTAGCTTTCATTTTGGCTTGCTCAGTGAATCCAACTAATATAGTTTTCTCTTATAGTCCACAGATTACAATAGCTACATCAATAATCTTCTGCCATCGGTTCTTCATTCGCCAGTCACATGCTAAGAATGACAGAAGGGTGAGTACATTTTTATTTTATTTTTGCACATGACCTTGTTGAATGAGATAAAGGTCTGCTCTTGTTATTTGAGTTAGTCTGCTGGAGTTTTGTTTGCATGATTTGGAGCACAGAAATGGCTCCTTGATGCTCCTTAATATTACTGTCTCAATGTCTCTGCCAGTTTCTTTTGTATATAGAAAGCAGACTAGCTGATGCTATAGGTGAATTTACATTGGTTTCTTGCAAAAATTTTCTGTCATGACTCATGATGATGATGCCCATTATTAAGCTTTCTTTTAGTATAATGCATACAGTTCTTCGTACTGATGTATCTTTCTAGAGCAGAACGGTTTGTATATTATGATTATTACTGAGCCCTTTTCTCCTTGTTCCACATCCAGACTATTGCTACAGTGTGCATGTTCCTTGCTGGAAAAGTTGAAGAAACTCCAAGGCCGTTAAAAGATGTTATTGTTGTCTCCTATGAGATAATACACAAGAAGGATCCTGCTACTGCACAGAGAATCAAGCAAAAGGTACCAATACTATTAAACCCTCTCATCTCCGTTGCTTCATGTTTAGTCTGTTATATGTGAATGGGCTTTTGTCCTGTATATTCTGTTTCCGACGGCATTGATTTTTTACTAACCTTAAGATTCTACTTTTCGTTGTTTGTGAACAATCCTCATATGTCACTACCCTTTCGTCAGATCTCGTTGATCATCTTATCTGTTACGTCTATTCTGTTTACTGAACTTATTTCACTTTTGCAGGAAGTATATGAGCAACAAAAAGAGCTTATACTTATCGGAGAAAAGATTGTACTTTCCACATTAGGATTTGACTTCAATGTTTATCATCCTTATAAACCTCTTGTTGAAGCAATTAAGAAATTTAAGGTCGCACAGAATGCTCTGGCCCAAGTTGCATGGAATTTTGTTAATGATGGGTACGTTATTAGTCTGTTTCCTTCAAAAGCTTGAGTTAAGATCTATCTGCCTTGTATTTTCGTCTTCATACAAATGAAAAGATGCTTGCAGTCTGCGGACGTCACTCTGCCTGCAATTTAAGCCTCACCACATTGCGGCGGGTGCAATTTTTCTTGCTGCCAAGTTCCTTAAAGTGAAACTACCATCGGATGGAGAGAAGGTTTGGTGGCAAGAATTTGATGTCACACCTCGACAACTGGAAGGTAAGAGTACTATCTTTATTTTGGAAGTGTTTTTCTGGGACCTTTTCTGTTTGATTTGCATGCGTTTTTCTTCATATCATGCTAAGAGCTATGCCTTTTGTATGCTTCAGATGTTAGCAACCAAATGCTTGAGCTCTATGAGCAAAACCGTGTTCCTGCATCTCAAGTAAGCGAGGTAGAGAGTAGTGTAGGTGGAGGATCAGGTCTTCACGCTGGTTCGAAACCAATATCAGCACGCCCAACTCATGAACATTCAAATTCTGATAATCATGGAGGCTCTTCAAAAGCTACAGAAAACCAGGGGAATGATAACGGAAGTGGTGAGGCAGGTAGTGTCATCACGGAGCATACAGAAAATCATCCAGCCAATAAGTCTAGATCGGGAGTTGAGGAACCTGGGAAGGAAAAAACAGAGAGAGTAGATGCATTTCTTCCAGATGATAGTGCTGCTCATGATAAATCTAGAAATGTTAATACAAGTGATGTTCCGGTCAGTCAATCGCCAAAAGACATAAAATTGCTAAGAGATAAGGTGAAGGCCAAACTAGAGGCTAAGAAGCTCCAAGGTGAAAGGACGAGGAAAAAGGATCTGATAGATGAGGATGATTTGATTGAGAGAGAACTTGAAGATGTGGAATTAGGTGTTGAAAACGACAAAGATAGCCAGAAGAAGAACTCCAAAACCAATCATGTGGGTACAGAACACGGCGAGCTTCTTGATGGAAACAACTTTGTGGGCAATGCCGAGGAAGGTGAAATGGTTGAGGGTGTTTCTTCAACAGTGCCTAGTCGGAAGAGGAAATTGGAAAGCCCTTGTGAGAAACAGTTGGGAGAAGGAAAGAGGCAACACAACGACAACAGTGAGAATGTTGAAGGTCACAAGACAAGCCGAGGAGGAAGTAGCCATAATAGTCATGGTGACCGAGAGCTAAAAAGACACTCCGAAGAGAGGTAAATGGTCTCTTTGTTGTCACCATCTCATGAGTCTCTAAGAGACATTTGGCAAACTTTGATTCCCAATTTCCCAGGCAGGTGCGAACGAACTCAGTGTATTTATCAAACTTTTCTTTTTGGCACTTGTACTACACAATTCAACGTTTGAGTAACTTAGACCAGAGTTTCATTGATTAGAAACCTCCCTTAGCTTAGGAACTCTTTAGTGTTGATATTTGTTTGAAACTTTTATGGGGAGGAATTTTTTTGTCGATTTGTTTAGAGCCATTGTGAGTTTTTGACTTGAGAATGTTTTAATAAATAGGAAACAGAATGGTCAAATGATTTTGTCAATGTAGTGTTTTTGGGTGGGTATGAGCACATGTGACATGTGCAACCTAATGGGAAATAAAGAGAATCGTTTCTGGAATAAGAATGACTTTGCTGGGTCTGAGTAGAAAAGCAATTAATATTTGTAAAACATCCATTTGATGGGCCATAACTATAAGATAGGTGTGTGAACTAAAAGGATGATCATTGTAAGTAAAGGGTACAGGAGAAAAGAAGCTAAACTTATCTTTGTTGACTTCTTGATAGAGAAGTACAAGATTTTATTTTCTTCGTTGTTTTATGTGGTACAAGTCTTTTGGCCATGTGTATATTCTAGCCGGTCTCCAGTTTACCCTCACAATAGACGGACGGTGAGAAAAAAAAAAAATTTGATTGCTAGGGATTTTAACCAACATCAATTATGACGGACGATACATAAATAATAACAACATGCATAAAAAGCTTTTTGGTAATTTAAAGAGTGGACGACCTAATTAGTAGACCTAGAACCCAAACACATAGCCTTGTAAAAGAAACCAAGAACATAGGCCACACGCTAGAACATATTCCAAAGTCGTTAAAGAGGAATCTGATCGACAAACATCGAAGTCATGTACTCCTTGATTATTCCTTTGGGGCGAGTGTACCCTTCATATCCATTGTAGGAGATGGTAATCATTTGTGCAAAACCCATTGCTGTCTTGAGAACCAAACGTGACACACCAGTTGTCATCAAGAGCTCCTCGTTTATTATGATATCGGTATCTGCAACCATTTTATGAAGCTCTCTTAAAGCATCTTCTTTTGTAACTTCATATTGCTTCACATAACAGTTGACCGCATTCGTGATCTGTCCTCTACTCATGTCATCCTGATCAAAGTTTTAGAAATAGTGTAAAGATAGAACAACGCAAGAAGACATATCCGAGGTCAAGTGTGACGAGATAAATTAATCCATTTTCTTACCTCTAAGCCGTGTATATCATTCAAAAGACGACCTCTGACACATAAAGATTTGACCAGTCTTGGTCTCGATTTAAGCCACTGGTAAGCTTCCTTGGTAGCCATATTTCCCATACACATGAAACAGCAAGCCATAACTGCACACGCTGTGATCTCCACCTCAACAACCTCCATGTACTTCTCAAAGCTAGGCAGGTGAGCTGCTTGTGCCCATTTTCCATGTTCAAAGCTGGCTTTCACATATGTCTTGAACTGCAAGCTCGAAAGTATAATAAAACTATTACACCTACACAGGTCCGGCTCTGACCCATGCGCCCAAAAATTTTTTTGTATAAAAGATAAAGAAAAATGGTCTAATTTTAAGGAAAAAGTGTCAAATTTTAAAGAAAAAAAGGACCAATTTGGAAAGAAAAATACAAATACTAAAAGAAAAGGACACAATTTTTATTAAAAACACATATAAAAAAAGCCCAAGATTTTTCAAATACTTTACTATATGTAAAAAAATTTTTTTTGCCATGGGCCCAAAAAAACTTTGAGCCGGACCTGAACCTACAGCCTTTATTTTTTCTTTTGAATATCAAAATCTTACGAGTCCACTAATATTATTCTTAATTGACTGATTGATTGATTGATTGGTTACCTCTTCTTTATTGACTTCCACACCATAAGTTTTTCCTTCCGGCATAAATTCTTTTTCAAAATCTTCGAAAGTATCCAATATAAAGTTTAGTACGGCTTTCAAATATTCAGGTTGTTTATCCATGGTAGGATCGGGAGACCACCTGTATATCATCATCATCATCAATTCATCACCAGCATGATGATTGTTTCTTTTGTTATCGTAATGTTCATTGCTTATATGAAATTTTGATACCTTTCCAAGCTATTGGCGAGTATTTCAACCTCAGGAAGAGACGCATATCTGTCGAATGTGTCATCTAGAATCCCTAACACGGTGAAATACTGAGACACAATAATCCTTGCACGTGAAACTTGTGGCTCGGAGAACACCCCTTGAATAAAGAAATGATTTTCGACGGTTCTGTCTCTGAAGTAAGGTGGCATTTTTGATGCAAAGTCTACCTCCTTGTACCAGCTTGAATACATGTACGGATATTTTTCTTAAACGGATAAATCCAGATATTCGAAAATCTCAGGATATCTGAATATGGATTTGGTTTCACTATTAGGAGAAAAAAAATCTTTGGCAATCAATTAGGATACTGAATATCCGTTTAGATATTTGTTACAAATCCTAGAAAAAATAAAAAATAAATTATAATACTGAAAGAATTTTAAAACAAAAAATCTGTACAATATCTTATTGACATAAAGTATAATTCAATATTAGAAAAACTGAAAACACTTTTACGTTTAAATATTAATATTTTAAAATAATTATTAATAAAATAAATTTTATGAATATTAAAAATTCAGATCGCAATCTAGATATCCGAACTTCAAAATTAAAATATTTGATGAATCCAAGATTTTACTAACTAGATCTTGACCCAACTTCACCGAATACTCGAATTTTTAGAACGGTTCTTTAAAAATTAATTATAAATAACAACACTCACATAGCATAATATTTTTAAATATAATTATACACATATTTTGCTTGATTTATACTTTCTTATGATTTTTTATACCATAGTTTTCTATTTCCATAATAGAAAAATAATTTTTCAAGATACCGATACAATACACAATAAGTATATTATTTTCTAAAAATATAATCTTATTGATAAATATTAATATTTATTATATAAATTATATATGAATTATTAAATTCATGATAAATAAAAAAAATTACCTAAATCATGAAGTAGTTACAAATCAGCGAATTGACTTAAATTTTATAATAGAAAATATATTTTCAAAATAACTATCTGATACAAAAAAATTATCCTATTTTATAAATTATACTATTATTAATATATATTCATTTTTATTATATAATAAATTATATATGAATTATTGAAAAAATAAAAAGAAGCAAAATTACATAAAATCATGGAGAAGTTGACAAATCAGCATGCTTGATTTATCTTTAATTATAATTTTTAATTTCTATACTAGAAAAATATATTTTCAAGATAACAATATAATACATAAGTATTATCTTATTTTATAAAAATACAATATTCAAAATAGAAATTCGCTTTATGATATAATGAATTATATATGAAAGTATTAAAAACATGATAAAATAAAATTACTTAAATCATAGAGAAGTTATCAAATCAATCACTAAATTCATTTAAACTTTATAATAGAAAAATATATTTTCAAGATAACAATCTAATACATAAGAATTAATTTATTTTTTAAAAATATGATATTATTAATATAAATTCATTTTTATGATATAATAAATTATATATGAAATTATTAAAACAGAGAAATAAGCAACATTAACTAAAACCATGGAGAAATTGACAACTAAGCAAATTTACTTTGCAAATAATAGTATAGATTCATTTTTATGATGTAATAAATTATATATGAAATTATTAAAATAGAGAAATAAGTAAAATTAACTAAAATTATGGAGAAATTGACAACTAAGCAAATTTACTTTGTAAATAATAGTATAGATTAAGTGAGGAGATATGCTACATACATTGTAAGGATTTTGAGTTCTTAAATGTACTGGAGCTGCAGTAACTTGAAACTGATCTTAGCAAACTTGAGTAGAGTCTCGTCATGATCTTCTTCTTGTTCGTAGAATAGGATATATTTCACAGCGACTAACATCTCCATGTTCCAATGCTGAGATAGACATAGAGCATTTTTTATATGCATTGAAAGATGAGGCGGGCATGTCCCACCTGCAGCTAATGACTTCAAATGGCTCGATGTGAAGCTCAATGCTTCTTCCAGTATATCATCTCTCCTAGTCCGCAAGTGCGCAGCTTCATATAAGCTCAAGATACCCTTAGAATCTCCTTTAAGAGTTTCTTTAAAGTTTCCGGTGCTCTCTTTGAATCTTGTAAAGACATCTATTTACAATAACGGACCAACTTGTTATACATATAAATTAGAGATGACACACAACAGTCTGAACTTCGACTATAATGATAAGCTATGCTAGTGATTCTCTTACCAGAAGATATGTAGTGACCGTATCTCCTGAAAACCCAAAAAATGATGGAAACTGTGTACAAATCTTTTTCGTTATCCATCATCTCCTCTATCTTTGTGAAACTCTCTTTTAAAGTATTATAGATCTCGTCCTCGAAGTGGTATGCAAGACCAAGGCTCACCAGCAAATATATCATAAGGATTCTCTCAACGCCTTGGGAAGACATGAACATGTTCTTCACTTTCGGCTTTAGTGTATCAATCTCTTTCTTTAGCGCATCCATTTCCTTAAGATGTAGAAAAGCACACATGCATTAGCCTTATTCACACCTACATACATAAAACTAATATGTATATATATAGACATATATGCTAGGAACTCACGGAGACATCGAGGGGAACCGAGTGAAAGTGATCAGTCCATTCAGAGGGTGGCAACTTCTTGAATTTTCGGTTTCTTAATTGAACATCAGACGTTGGAATAGTACTAGTATTAGCCTTAATACATACATGCTTTTTAGGCTTATCCGGAAATGACGTCGGGGGAAAGCCGGAGAATTTGAAAACCGGAGACAGAAATAAATTGTTCTCAGAAGGAAGAGAAATGTGAAATCCAAGTTTTGGTCCAAAAATAGTCTCCATTTTTTCTACTGATATGGAATTGTAAGGAGAGAAAGTTGTGACTGTTTTCTTTTTTGACAATCGTTCACGTTCACCTTTACAATGTATTTATACACATGTATTGTAAGTTATCACACTTTATTTTGTCTTCTATTCATATGTGAATATATTTTATCTCTCTAATTAATACATTAAAGTAAATAATAAGGATCAAAATAGTTTTTTATTAAAATTTTTGTAATATATAACGACACAGAAATAAAAATTTACAACAACTTGTGAATAAGTATTTATATATCATTTTTTCTTAGTGTTACAAAAAAAAATATCATTTTTTCTTAATACTTCCATTACAAGAAAACAATCTTTTTACTAGGATTATATTCATGGTTAATTCGTCGTAATATGACCATTACGACGAATTAACAAGGAAACACGTTTCGTTATTAATCGCCAATTGTGATGGATTTTTCATAAAGTCCACGTAATGTTACGAGGAACACGGATCGTTGTAAAAGACAAGTAGAAAGGTTCGTCGTAACCTCAACGTTAACTTCTCTCGTGAACTACTCGTTCTATTTCGGCGTAATTGCCACGTGAAAATTTGATATTAAGTCCATGTAAATGTATGAGGAGATTACTAGTAGTATATGTAAAGTCGTAGTAAATATTACAATGAACTTACTTGTAATTCGATGTTAACTCGTTGTAAAATTTACAAGGAATTTACTTGGATGTATACATAATTTATAATTTTAAAATTTTTTCTATATTTTTATTATAAAATTCATAATTTAAAATATAAAACCAAAAATTTTAAAATTAAAATTGTTTAAAAAGAATTATATAAAAAGTCATAAAATAATATATAAATTTATAATACAAAAGCAAACAAAATAAAAAAAACTACGGCATGTTATTACGGAGGTACTCGTCGGAGCGGCTGAGTTTCGGGCCGGGTCGACCGGTTGACTCGGGAGGATGTTGCTACATTCCGAGAGCCGCTCGTCTTTCATTTAGCGCTCTCTGTATAACCGGGTTACCGGTCGCCATGATGTCCAACAAATCCTCAAGTGAGTCCAAACGCTTCTCCTGGGAGTCCATGCGAGACCACATCTGAGAAGTTTCCTCATCCCGTTTCAAAGTGTATGAAGAAGTTTCTCTTGAAACTTCGTTAACGAAGCCTATTCCCGCCGTCCGTCCCTTCTTTCTAGGAACCACCTTGTTTCAAAAAAGGTTATATAATACATTAATATTGAAATATTAATTAATATAATATAATTAATATAAACAAAATAAAATTTATTCAAAAATTTTACCTTTTCGAAAATTCGATCGACTTCTTCTGTAGTCAATGTGACGGGTAACCCATCGGGAGCCTGCTGGGTTAGTTGTGTCTGCCGCTCCTCAACCCGAGAAACCACATCGTTACAAATTTTCTCGGAATGTGGATCCACTGAAACTCCATCCGGTGTGGCGTGAGTCATTCTGAATAGCTCAGTCAGAGATGGCATGACTCCAGTCTTCTCGGCCTACAAACAAAATAAAAGAGTTAATTTTTTTTAATTACTTAATTAATAAAGAAAATTTAAAAAATTTAAATGTTAAAAATTAAACTTACAACATCTAGACGAATCCCAACGTGAGGCTTTTCGCCTGTTCTGTGAAGCATGGGTTCATTGCCGTTCTTATCCTTCGTTCTTCGGGAAGAAGAGCACGAGTTGGACTTTTGATGGAGGCAGGTAGGCTCCAATAGCGGATGAGAGCATTCCATACAAAGTTCGAGATCTCCTTGGGCTTTCCATCATAACCGTTGAGTTTCCATTTGTCCTTACAATCCGAGACGGTGTTGCAAAGATGAGTCTTGGATTTTGCTACAAAAGCCTCCTTCACTTTCTCGTTGCTCGATAATGGCCTATGCCACTTTTGCTGAAATCAAAAAACGAAAATTTTTTAAAAGTATTAAAAATAATATAAAATTAAATATTAAATATTATAAAAATATTTACCGAACATTTGAAACCACATTACCTTCACGTGGTCCGGAGTCATACTCCAATTCGGACGAGCCTCGAGAAAATACCCCTTCATCGTGTCTGAAACACTCCGGCGAACGCGATTGTTTGCTCCAAATCTGAAAATAATATAGATTAGGAATTTTATAAATTCAAAAAAAATTCAAAAAAAAAACTTACCAATAAGTACCAGGCACGTGTTTCTATTACGATGAATTTACTAGGAACTATATAAATCTCCGAAAATCAAATCCTTAAACCCCAAAGTTTCTTCTTCTTCTTCTTCTAAATTTTTATAAACCGTAAACTTTTAATAAATTTTTAAACCGAAATCAATACTTATTATATTAAACAACATTTGTTACACATCCGTTAATTGATATAAAAGAACAACATTGGTACATATTCCCAACATTTGGTACATATTTTACATCATTCAGAATCATTCAAGTTCTCATGAACATTAGGAAAATCATCATCGCTACCATCGAACTCGTCTTCACATGTTTCATTCATCACATTGTCGGGAAGATCTTCGTATTGATGATTATGCGGATCAATAAGAAAGATTTCATCAGTTCGTTGATCATGTACTTCTACTTCAGTGACACACGCTTCTTCTTGCAAGGGTGGTTCTTCTCCAGCAATTTTTCGTCCATGAGGTGTAATCTTGATAACAGCTAACCAAGTTATTCCTGAACTTCTAAGGCAAGGGTATGAAATGAAGCTAACTTGCTCGGCTTGAGAAGCTAAGATGAAAGATTTGAATTTGTTGTATCTTCTTAAAGAGTTGACAGCCACAACACCGAATTTGTTAAACCGAACACCCCTGTTCACAACAACGTCGAACCACTCACATTTGAAGAGGACACATCTGAACTTCAATAATTCCGCAAATTCCACTTCAATAATCTCCTCCAAAATCCCATAAGAGTCTGTTTCGCCTTTCACACATATTCCGTAGTTACTTGTTTCCCGACGACTCCCATAGTCGTATGTATGAAACGTAAAACCGCGTGTAAAATACATATTTAATGTGATGACTTTTGCTATTAGACCTCGGACCAAATCGTGAAACCATGGGGGGTAATATGGATCATCATCTTGAACCTACAAAAATTAGTATGTTAACAATTTATATTATATTATAGTGTTTACTACTTACGTAATATTTGAGCTATATATATTACCTGAGATTTAACCACGTGACATAGTGTTGATCTTTTAGTCGGTCAACTTCAGTTGCAGATACTCTAAGTATTTTGCGTTACAAAGGAACTGCAAATTAAATGAATGTATTCACATCAATATAACATCGCACTTCATATAATTTAAATTCACATAACTATTTACCTTTCAAATGAATGTGTCACTGAATGCTCGCAATTGAGCAGAATATAAGTGTGGGCACTATGCTTATCCTCGTCAATAGACTACCATATTTCTTGCAATCTACCACCAAACCGTCCAATTTGGCAGAAAATATCAGGAACATTGGTAATTGGATATGTGGGACGACTCCACCATCATCATATCTTCTAGGAACTCTTTTTCTTGTACGTAATGTTGGTGCAAAGTATTATGATGTAAAGTGAGATGTTTCCGCTGTCAAACTCCCAGCAATTATTGAACCTTCCACCTTTGCAAGATTTTTTGCTTTCCCCTTCAAATGTTTCATTGCGCGTTCATACGGATACATCCATCCATGGTGAACGTGACCACGAAGCAATACCTCGTATGCGAGGTGAACAACAAGATGTTCCATGACGTAAAAAATGATGGAGGCAAAATTTTCTCTAAGTTGCACAATATGATCTAATGTTCTCATGAAGTTGTTCGATAAGTTCTTCCTTGAATGTATGTGTGCTTAGGTCTCTGAAGAATGCTCCAATGGCTGCATATTGCAAAATTAATCCAGTGAATAACATTTCATAACATATGTATATATAATATTAACTAAACAATAATATTTACCTGCAAGTGCTTCATGTACCTTTGCTGGAAGCAACTCAACAAAAGCGAATAGAAATAGTTGTTGCATAAAAACATGACAGTCATGACTCTTCATTCATGAGAACTTTTGACCTTGTTTAATACATCTTGAGAGATTAGAAATATATCCATCAGGGAACTTAACTTCTGACTGAACCCAGTTAAACAAAGTCGTCTTCGCTTCTGATGACAATCGAAAGATAGGAACTGGAATGTTTCCATTGCTTTTGATATGTAACTCACTTCTTAAGAAAATATCAGGTAAGTTCATTTTTGAATTTTTGCTATCTTTTGTCTTTCATGTGACGCTCAGTATTGTATTCATGATGTTGTCAAAGAAGTTATTCTCTATATGCATAACATCGAGGTTGTGGCGTAAAAGAAGATCCTTCTAATAAGGCAGCTGCCAAAATATACTCTTCTTATGCCAATTGTGACTGACCCCATAACCATCAAGCATATTTCCAGGAACATGCCAGTTTCCTCCACGTGGAACAGTTTCCTGAGCTCCGTAGTAATCAATTTGCGCTAGGATCTGTTCTCTAGTGAAATATAGAGGAGGACTATCCCTTACAACTTTTTTGTACCTAAACAGTGTCTTATTTCTTCGGTATGGATTGGTAAGGGGAAGAAATCTACGATGACAATCAAACCAACAACTCTTCCTACCATTCTTCAATTGAAAAGCATCTGTTGATCCAAGAAAATGTGGACAAGATAACCTTCCATGTGTAGTCCATCCAGAAAACATACCATAAGCATGAACATAACTTATCGTCCAAAGCAGAACTGCTCGCATCGTAAAATTATTTTTCATGGAACAATCATACGTCCTCACCCCTTCTAACCACAAGTCCTTCAGCTCTTGTATCAATGGTTGAAGAAAAACATCTAGCGACCGCTTTGGATGCTTCAGACCAGGGATTAATATGGTCAAGAATATAAATTCTTGTTCCATGCACATCTCCGAAGGCAGGTTGTACGGCGTAAGAATGACTGGCCACAAAGAGTATT